GTGACGGTCGGTCCGTGTGAATTGAATGCAGACAGGAGGAGAGTTCAGCTTTACTGGAGACGCACGATCGACAAATTTTAAACTCGTGATTTTAAATTATGCTGCGCTTTATGCATTTGCCCACTGCTATATTCATGTCATTTCCACTGTGTGCTGTATGTACAATTAGTGTTACCTTGGCTTTATTTGAAAAAAATATGATTCCCAATGCACACAAACTTCCCAGATTACCGAGTGCCCTGTTGGTTACAGTGTTTACTTCCTTTTTTATTATATTTTTTATTAAATATTTATTTGTGAAAAATACTTTGTCATCTAAAGTATAAGAATGTTTATTTAACATTTATTTTTTAACCCATTTTCAAATGATTTCAAATTTCTTAAATATTAAAATAAATAAAATTATATCGGCTTTATATCGGCCACCCTGCTTTACAAGATATCGGCATCGGCTGTCAAAAAACCCATATCGGTCGACCACTAATGAGCATCAGTATAATGGTACTACAATTGGTAAATTACAATCAGTAAAATAGATTTCGAGCTAGTATAATTGATTTCGAGCTAGTAAAAGTACAATACTAGTGTAGCGGCACTAGAATTGGTAAAGTACTAGCATTAGTAAATTGAATTTAATTGATACAGGACTAATAATGGTATGGTTCAAGCTGAAAAGGCACTAAAATTGCTACAGAACTAGTGTGAGTGGTATATTAACGCTAGTATCAGTAAAGTAGTACAAATAAATTGTAAATAAAAAAACACTACTAGAGGTTACAGTACTACTATGCAATATGCATTGTTTAGCAGGAGTAGTGGTACAATATTATCATTATACTATCAGTACAATAATAACACTAGATACTAATATTTCTACAGCATTAGAATCAATAGAAATATAAAACTAGTGGTACTAGTATTACTACAGTATTAGAATCAGTATAATGCTTAAAACCAGCGGTACTAGTGTTTCTAAAGTATTACAATCAGAATAGATACAAAACTAGTGGTACCAGTGTTAAAACTAGTAATACTAGTTTCCACAAAATCAGTATAATCAATTAAAACTAGTAGTGTTTAATACTTGTATCAGTATATTGCTGTAGCACTAGCAGTGCTATAATACTAGCAACAGTGGTACTACAGTATTAGAATAATTATTATGATTTAAACTAGTATCTCTACAGTATTAGAATCAGTACTGTAGTGTAATGCTAGTAGTGTACAACACCTACATCAGTAGTAGTAGTAGTAGTTGCAGTGCTAGTATTAGCATGGTGGTTTAGCACAAGTATTTGTGTAGTACAGTATTAGTGCAGTTGTACAATGATGGATGTTGCTTGTATAACAGTACTGTTAATTCTTAACTAGCAGTAGGAGGCACAAGCACACACGTGCTGGCTGAACGTACCTTCTTCATAATGCCAGTCTTTCTCTTGCTGAAGGTCGTGTATCTCCTCAGCTTGTTGTCAATAAACTCCATCTTAATTTTCACCCGTCCTCGTGTTTTCTTGCCAGGTTTCGCCCCAGTCACCCCGGAGGAAACTCCCCCATATCCAGCTGACAGTCCCGCGATGGTTCCGGAGGATCCACCGACCTCCATCTCACTCCTCTCCCGCTTCACCCCTCTCCTGTCCACCACGGAACTCTCTTCATCATCCCCGGAGTCCGAGTCTCCGTCGGAGCCGCTCAACACAGCCTCCACCGACGGCCTGTCGTCGTATCTGCCCCCATCGGGCAGGTTTATGGCAGAGGTTACTGCCCCCAAAGCCCCAGATGTGCTGCCCACCTGTAGAGGGGTCAACCCCGCGCCGTTACCGGAGCGTCCAGCCCCTCTGGCCATCCCGTTTCCCCCTAACATCGCGGACCTGCTCCAAGCACTACGGCAGCCTGCGGTAGGTGTAGAGATCCGAGCAGATCTTAGATCAAATCCAGCAGATCGCTTCACTTGATACCGAACTTATGTTACCTCACATATGCTAGGCTAAGAAACATTAGCTCAACTCAACAGACAACTCGGACTAAACACGCGGGATCTGGAGTTTAAGGACGGATGTATTCCCGTGTGAAAGTCACGATTTAAGCGGCTCGTGAAATACAAAAATAAACTCCCAAAACTAGCCCTTTACGACCATCGTACAAAGTTTACAACGTAGAGTTTCCGCCTACAGTCCATCAATCAAACCTCAACTGAACTTGCCACATTTGGAAACAACGAATCGCGACCCGCGCAATGTACCTCCGCCAACAGAACTAGTTACCTACAGTAACAACAATATCGCGTAAAATAATTCACTTTGAACACGTGAACGGCGGTATTTCCGTCGTGTATAACGTCTAGTGTTTTTTTTAAACTATATAATTGCTGATAACTCGCTTGTTTTGGGAATTTAACTCACGAGGCCGTTCGCCTAAAGATCTAATTTCCTCCAAATAAAGCGAGCCGATGTTTCCTTATATGGCGATGGCTGTCCATGTATGGTGAGTCACAGCGCTGCGCTGCGATTGGTTACGCAAACCTCTCCGACTCTGTGATTGGTTCGAATCTAATTTGGCCGACAGAAATGGCATACGTCATACACAGCGAACTACTAGTAGCGAACGTGCCTGGACCCTCACGGTAATATTAACGACAAAAATACACCGTTTCTGGCGAGAAACGTGCGAAAAGGTAAACCACATGCACTTAGCGAACTTTTAAAACCAAAAGCAGGTTGTTAGACTGACTGCTGAGTTTAATTTGAGTACAAACTGAGGTGAAATTCAGCTCTGTGAGAGCTGTGGAAATGATGCGATACTGCCGTGTAACCAGCAGATGAGGCTCTTACATTAATTATTGGTTTAAAGTTACACTAAACTTAATCTTTTGGCCGTCTCATATACTTAAAAAAAAATACATCCACGCATTGAATCAGTTTTCCATTTTCAACCTTGTACTGGCAACTTTGTGCTCTGAGAATAACATCAGTGCTATTGCTTCTATAAACAGCCAACAAACACTTTAAATGAAGAACATCTTTTGTAATATTACCCTTACAATCAATGTTTTGAAGGTTTTGCACTGGGCCCAGAGAATACAAACATTTTAGGCTAATAGTAAAGTAGTGTGTATTTGGGTGGTCGAATATCAAGGCAGCTTCCTAAAGGTCTTAGGTTCTAACCCACCCAACCTCATGTTTTACTCAGATAAAACCATCAGAAAGATGACTATCTCATAATATATTCACATAATGCACTAACAATACATTTGTCAGAAAGAAAATGTCTTTACATTCTAAATTTTGTCAAATTTGTTTGGATTTTTCTTATAATTCTCCACATTTTTTTACACCCACATTTAGTTTATAGTCCATTTTTTCTTTTATTTAAAAAGAAAACAGTAGCATGAGTAGCCTTACATCGAAATTTAATCAAAAACATGCAGTTCATGTATGACTCGCATGCTTTCTGTAAATGACTAGGCTATTGGTGTGTAAATATTCTTACAGGAACTGCTCAACTATTGTCATGACAACATCACATAGTTACATATTCCCATCTGCAACCGCGGGAGGTAATAACTGCAGATGAATCTTGGTAGTCCCCATAAACTGTTCCAGGAATACACCAAACTGACCCATGCATGTTATGCAATACAAGCAAAAGATTAGATTTTCAAACATGCTTCCTTTCTGGTGCTACATTTGTTTTGAGCAAATTAAAATGACAGAATTGTTACTGTATTCATTTTTATTTCCAAAAACTTTACAGCAGAATAAATGGCACAAAGGCTATGAATGAGTAAAGAAAAAGTGCAACTTAAGAGCAGACTGAAAATTTCTGAACGAATACAAAGACCTGTTGTCCTCTCTGAGCAGAAACAACCGGTCCACATCAGTTTGGACATGAGCAGAAATGATCTCAATAAGAGAAAAACAGGAAGCATTTACAAATTCAGTGAATCAAAGTGTTTGAGCATAAGAAAACAGATAATGACAACATACAGATTGATTTGCAAGCATTGCATTACAATACTAAGTCAGATCTCAAAGCAGCCAACGTAGAGATCGCTTGCCAAAATAATTTCATACAACGTGGTGGTGCGCGGACCATTCCGACCTCACCCACGAACACGTCTCTGGGGGCGCCGGGTGTGACGCAACGGTTTAAGTAACAGTGTTTGTCACAGACCATCGACACGAAACACTGCAGAAGATCAAACGCTGCTCTGGCAACCATACAGACATGTTAGGCAAGAGTTCCATTGCTTATGCGTCCCAAAGCCCTTGCCAGCAATTTCCTGAAAACATCACTTCTGTTTCCAAAACATTATTGCCTTATTCTCATAGGATAGGAGCAGAATTATTTCAGCAGAATTTGCAAGGCGGAGGACGCATTTAGAGATTTCCATTAGCTAAGGATGCCATTAGATTACAACACAAACGGTTCCACCTAACTCTATGCAGTTCTGTTTGCTTTATCCACATGTTCCACCTATAAAACACTTTTCCCCTGCTAAGAAGTCAAATCTAGTAAAGAATCTATAAGCACTTTTTGATAATTACATTCTGTTTCTACACAATCCATGTATGAGAAATGTAAGCTTTGATTTATTGACAGATCAAAAGGTTCGTTTGTTAAAAAAAATGAAAACTCTGTCATCATTTACTCATCCTCATGTCGTTCCAAACTCACTTGGATTGCTTTCTTCTGAGGAACACAAAAGGAGAAGTTTAGCAGAATGTTCACGCTGCACTTTTCCATATAGTGAGAGGGAATGAGGACAAAAATAGCCAAAAAAAGAAAAGAAATCCATATGACTTGTGCGCTATATTCGAAATTTTTTGATGCCACACCATGTTCATACAAAATGCATTTTTGCATTCTAGTGTGCTGATTTTCCATAGCTTTTTTTTAAAGTAGGCTAAACATGCGCTTAAACAGATGTCTTTGACCATTGCGCTTCTGTATTTTCCAACGTCTTGTGTACTGTAGAAAAAAAAAGTCATTCAACTTTTTAAAAACAAGTCACGAGACCTTGAATTTTTCCAATTCCACTTCCCGCATTTTCAATGCAAAAGTGCATTCTTCATAATTGGTCCCTAACAGACCAAAATTTATGGTTGGTGGTCGTTAAATTAGTCATAACCCACTGCGACACCAGTTTGAAGATGTGTGTAGGATTTGAGCATCGTGATGGAAGGGAATATTTTCAGTGAATAACTTTTTGGTCTGTGGGGAAGATTCACAAAATAGCTTCGTAAGGACTATTTTTATGGTGTTTCGTCATTTTTGGAGCTCCACAGGGTTTTTTTCTCCTCCACTGATGTTTATTGTATGGAAACAAGCAACAGGACATTCTGTTAAACTTCATCTTATGTGTTTTATAGAAAGAAAGTCATATGACTTTACAACAACATAAGATAAGTAAATAATGATCGACCCAATTTTTAGATGAACTACCCATTTAAAAGACTGACATGCAGCAGAATCTTGCAAACCTCTTTCTACGAAGACAGAGAATAACCTATAAGTGCTTTTCAGAATGAAACTTGAGCAACTGTGTTTCCTTCTGGTATCCTGCTGTGTTGTTTTTCAGATATTTCTTGGTCTTCATGTCACCCTCTCTGACCTTGTCTTTCATTTTCCAAAGTACAAGTTACTTGAAAACTTCAGTAAACCAGACGACCTACTTTTTATGATTAATAAACCAATTCCTGTTGGAAACCCAGTGAATATGCAACTATCTAGACCAGTGGTTCTCAGCCGGCTTTGTATCAAGACCTACATTTTACAATGGAGATTAATTGGCGACCCAACACAGCATTAAAATTTATTATACAAAAGATTCATCATACAAATGTGAACACATATAAAACCTTAAAATCAAACATTTATATCTATTGGTTGATTTAGAATTGGTTTCTGACACATTTTTGGGTCTCAACCAACCAGTTAAGAACCACTGATCTAGACCACAACCAGGTAGCCATGCTGTGTTGAACATTTTTAACATAGTAAGCTGCAGTACAAACATAAAACCAAGGTGCTGATTCGGTCAATCTAGATGATTTAGAAAGGGTATGGACCCACAATAATGGTGAGTCTCAGCAGTGAGCTGGAACGGTAGCTCAAGACATTACTCTGGGTGACCATCTCCAGGTCCACAACATGTTCTCTAGGTCCAGTCAAAGGTTTGGTCATCACCAACATGGCGCTTACATTACTGGAGCGCTGAAAGACAAAGAAAAAGCCAATCAGTGGAGAGACTTCACCACGAGACAGTGTTATAAATCACAGTAATCAATTTTTTAATGTAACAGAGTTGATGTTCATTATGTTTACAGGTACATATTTCAACTCTGTTATGGGGAAAAATATAATTGTGAGCAATGATGACTGTAAATAATCTGGTGATTAATGGTGACTGATAAATAAAAAAAATTTCACTGATCTTTAACCCTGTAACAACCCCAAAACATTTTAAATGTAACATGGTTGACTCTAAACATGTTTTGGAAAAGGATATCATGGGTTCAAACACAAGTAAGTATCTCTTACAGTCTCTATTCGCTTTTATTGTTTACAGCTATACTGTCATGCTCAATTGTTCAAGTCTGTTGTGGGAAAATAATAGTGATCACTCTTACAGAAAAATGTTTTTTCTTGGCAGAAAGCAGAAGAATACTGACTGTAAATAATCTGGTGTTGTGCTGTGCCAGTTAAGGAGAAGACATTTTTGCATTGATTTTCAACCATAGATATTTTAAATGTAACAGGGTTGGCACTAAACCTGTTTTGGAAAAGAAATATCATGGGTTGAAACACAGGTGAGTATCTCTTAAAGTCTAAAATTTTTTATTGTGTTTACAGTTATATTGTCAAGCTCAATTGTTCAAAGTCTTGACAAAAAGGACAACAATACTGATTGTAAATAATCAGGTTTTGTGCACTAATCTTCAACCCAATAACATTCAACCCCATACATTTTAAATGTAAAATGTTTTGGAAGAGAAATGTGATGGGTTCATTCAAAGGTAAGTAGGCTATCTTTTACAGTCTTTTTCAATTTTTCATTATGTTTATACTGTAGTTATATTATTACTCAGCATAGTTCAACTCTGTTACAGGAAAACTGTCTATGGCAAAAAGTATGAGAATACTGCCTGTAATCTGTGTTATGCAATGATATTTGCTAGGTAAGGTCTTTATTTGACATTTTTGCA